AAAATCTTAAAAAAAAAAAAAAAGATACCAAATGTTTCAGGAAGCAGGGGTGTGGTTAACTGGCGGGTGCAGGGCAATGAGCTGACATTATATTTTTTGGCAAATTCATTATGGAATGATCTCCAGGTAGATGACTTTTTAAATTTTTTATTAAAAAGATTTTATTTACTTATTTGACAGAGATCACGAGTAAGCAGAGAGGCAGGTGGGGGGGGGGAGCAGGCTCCCTGCTGAGCAGAGAGCCCAATGTGGGGCTCGATCCCAGGACCCCGAGATCACGACCTGAGCCAAAGGCAGAGGCTTAACCCACTGAGCCACCCAGGTGCCCCATAGATGATTTTTAAGATTTTTTTTTTAATTTATTTATCTGACAGAGATCATAAGTAGGCGGAGAGGCAGGCAGAGAGACAGGAGGGAGCAGGCTCCCCGCTGAGCAGAGAGCCTGATGTGGAGCTTGATTCCAGAACCCTGGGATTGTGACCTGAGCCAAAGGCAGAGGCTTTAATCCACTGAGCCACCCAGGCACCCCTGGGTAGATGATTTTTAAAAGAGAAATTCCTATGATAGAAATTTCTTTGTAAGAGATTTTTCATGGTAGAAAATAACTCTTCCTATATACCTAACGTATCTCTTCAGGTGGTCACAGCTTGAGACTGGACAGCCTAATGCCACTGTGTATGGATTTCTTATAACGTATTTTTCTTTCCGAGGTCTACGGAATTTCCCACATCTTATCCTCAGCATAACTGAGTGGATGTCATTCTGCTTTGTAGGTAAAGAATCTTCCAATAAATCTTCTGCTGGTGAGCAACAGACAGTAATAAGTGCATCACCCCTATGCTTTTACTGGTAAACCAATGTGTTGATTTATTCAAAGCTGTTTTCACATTGAAGATGTTTCTTTTCACACACTAGGTGGTAAAGGACTTCATGTTATTAGTTGGTGTTAGAGATCAGCACATATTAGTTAGTGCTCAAGCAGAGGTGAGCTTGCACCAGACATCAGAGACTGTATGGAGACCGTTCTGGTTGTTAACTTGCTGGGGGTATTCTGGCATCCAGTGGGTTGAGGCCAGGGACATTGCTAAACATCCTACAATACACAGAACAGGCCCCCCACAATGTAACAAGTGACATATTTATTGAGACACATAAAATTTATGGGGAATAAACAATTCGTGGAAAATTACAACTTAAGAATTGACATCAAAGGTGTCTTTATCTTTCTATTTAATACCATGGTATGAATTTTATTTCAAATAGTGTTTTGTGTCCCTTAGGAATACCTGACAGTTTTCTAACATTTTAAGTTCATTCCAAGGTATTTTAGTTTATTAGTTTCCATTATAAGTAGGGTTCTTTCTTCCATTCTATCTTGTGATTTAAATATGTCAAAGGAATTGATATCTATAAATTAGTATGGCACTCCACTAATGTTCCTTTCTTTTTTTTTTTTTTTTTAATTTTATTCATTCATTTGACAGAGAGATCACAAGTAGGCAGAGAGGCAGACAAAGAGAGAGGGGGAAGTACGCTCCCTCTGAGCAGAGAGCCCGATGCGGGGCTCGATCCCATGACCCTGAGATCATGACCTGAGCCGAAGGCAGCGGCTTAACCCACTGAGCCACCCAGGTGCCCCTCTTTCATTTTTTTAAAACAACCTAACAAGATTCTTTTTTTTTTTTTTTTTTTAAAAGATTTCATTTATTTAAGAGAGAGAGGAAGAGAATGAGAAGGGGGAGGATCAGAGGGAGATGCAGGCTCCCTGCTGAGCAATGTGGAACTCGATCCCGGGACTCCAGGATCATGACCTGAGCCAAAGGCAGTTGCTTAACCAACTGAGCCACCCAGGCACCCCAATATTTCTCTCATTTATTTTATCTTCTTTTGTGTACTGACTACTACCAGAAGTTAGCCAATTTAGTATTTAATATGCTAATTAATTAGCAGATATCCTTTCCATACTAGTCATACTCATTATTTCTGAACCAAGATTGGTCAGTCTACTTCACCAACTTAGATAATTCTCATTTCATTTGCTTTATTAAAAAATTTTACAAAAATGGGGTGTATGGGTGGCTTAGTCAGTTAGGCATCTGCCTTTGGCTCAGGTCATAATCTCAGGGTCCTGAGATCGAGCCCCACATCAGGCTCTCTGCTTGGTGGGGAGCCTGCTTCTCCCTCTCCTCTGCCTGCCACTCCCCCTGGTGATACTGTATGTCAAATAAATAAAATATTTTTAAAAAGTTTTACAAAAAATACATTATGAATTTTGTCAATACATTTTAGGAATGTATGAAAATGAAAATGTGAGTTTTCCCTTTAGCTTTGCTAATGGGCTGAAGTCTATTAATCAGAACTACAGCATTCCTCCCATCCAAGTACTAACCAGGCCCGACCCTGCTTAGCTTCCGAGATCAGATGAGATCGGGCGCATTCAGGGTGGTATGGCCGCAGACTAATCATAACTGTATCATTCCTAATACTGAATGATACCTACATTACTAGAAAAAATCGTATGTGATGTACTGGTAGATTCAGGTATTTTATTTAGCTTTCCTTATTTCTAAATATTCTTGAGAGATACTACTTTTGGGGTTTCGTGTTTATTTGGGGGTGGGTGTCCATCTTTGGTGGGTTTTGGTTTCACTGTTATCTTGGCTTCATAAAAAAGAACTTAGAAACTTTTGTCTTTGGAAAAAATTTTTAATCAATAAAATTTCAAAACAAACAAGTGAAAGCAATTATTATTATAGTTTAATTCATTTATGAATTAAACAACGTTCTGTGTGTTGACATAGTAACCACCACTTAACCTTTCATTTCTAAATGCAAAACAAATACCAAAACTTAAAAGTCAAAACTTCTGACTTAGAATAAAATTTCTGTGTAGACCTTGTTGGGCTCTGTCCTTACCTTGAAATTCCACAGTAAGTATCTCTTAAGAAAATTAAGGCTTTTTACACAAATATAGAGAACAAACTGTTAATGACAGCTGGCAGAGGAAAAGGAACTATTGGGGAGGGGGGGATGAGAAGGTTCAGAAAATGGGTGAAGGGGAGTGGGAAGTACAAGGCTTCCAGTACTGAAATTAATAAGTCATGGGGATGAAAGGTAAAAAGCACAGGGAAAACAGTGGGTTTGTACCAGACTCGTATGGTCAAGTGACAGACGGGAACTACGCTTGTAAGCATAGCATAACATACCAGGTTGTCAAATCGCCATGTTATACAAATGAAACTAATGTAACACTATGTATCAACAGTACTTCAATAATAAATAAATATCAAACTGGTTTGAACACATCCATTTCCAGCCTTCTTTTTTTCCATTTAAAGATCTTAATTTTTATAGCGATTCTACACCATGCATATATAGCAAAATATACATTACTGTCAAAAATGAAAGCAAAAAGCTTATGTTCTTCTAGGTCTTTTTTTTTTAAGATTTTTTCTTTATTTATTTGACAGACAGAGATCACAAGTAGGCAGAGAGGCAGACAGAGAGAGAGGAGGAAGCAGGCTCCCCGCTGAGCAGAGAGCCCTATGCGGGGCTCCATCCCAGGACCCTGAGATCATGACCTGAGCCGAAGGCAGAGGCTTAACCCACTGAGCCACCCAGGCGCCCTGTTCTTCTAGGTCTTAACGCCTGTCTCTGGTTAATTTGAAGTATCTCCAAATTAATGTCCAAACTGAGAAAAGATGTTCGCACATCTCAATAAACATGTATTAGCATCACGAGATCTTAAAAACTGATACCTAAGTTGGAGCCCAGCCTTGCTTTAAAGGGGCAGGCTAGCGTTCCCTCAGAAAGAAATGTGGAAAGAACATACCTGATCGTGATCAACCTCTACGGGCTGCTTCTTAATGATCCACGTGACGGACTCGGAGAGTGGGGGCGTAGTCAGGGACCCCGAGTAGGTCCAGTAATCTGGGCAGGCAGGCATCAGGCAGGAAGGATCAAATGACCCAAATTCCACAAGGGTGTCCTGGCCAAGAGAAGAGGTCACCAAGTCATCCTTTCATGGTGAGAATCACTCAGGAATCAGAGGACGGGGTGATGAGTCTAGGGGAGTCTAGGGACCAGCAGCGGTCCGGAGGATCTCTGGGCACTTTAGGACCGAATCACGCCCCTGCCTTGTTCCCCTAATTAACTAGGTAGTTCTGCTCGTCCTCCCCGGGAACGGGAACGAGGCGCGACACACTGCCTCCCTCCGTTCTAGTGACTTTACTGCAGGTGCTCTCCTCTCAACTCTTTGGGAGGCATCAGGCAGTGAGTAGCTGGTGCATGAACAAGGAGACTTCCCTTTTTCAAGAAAAACCGACAGAATTCTCCCTTCTAAAATGCAGTGCAAATTTGGGGGAGTCAAGTTCCTGGACTAAAAGGGGCAGACAGAGAAAGGGAAGGGAAAAGAGGGAGATGGACAGGGAGGGAGAGGGAAGGAGGCAGTGGGGACAGAGACTGAGGTGGGGATGAGGCGGGGGCAAGAGAAGTGGACCTCCAGGGAACGGCCCCTTCGGGACTCGAAGTCCCGAAGGACAGTTAGTCTGGGGCCTGGACAAAGGTGTCCATTCTGAAGGATGTGGGTAATTGTTCTGTACAGCCGGCCACGCCAACTCTTCTCTGCTCCCCGCCTGCGGGACCGGAGGTTGAGTCAGCAGGACTGCTCTGGCTGTTTCCACAGGGACTCAGAAGGAGCAGAGGAGGGGACAGCCCTGGGTTCCCGACTCCCTGAGGGCTAGGGCAGGGCAGCAAAACCGAAGCGGTGAGCACGCACCCACAGAATCCCTTCCGGCCCCTGCAAGGTGTCTCAGGGCCAGAGGCGCTCTCAACACACGCATGTAAAGTGGCAAGTGCTCTTCCGGGGCAAGTTGCAAAGTGTTTTGTGAGTGTCTCCACTCGAGATTACACGAAACAGGCATTTCAAGTGACTTGGGGGAAAAAAATTACCTTATGCTTCACTGACGGCACAGTATCCACGAATTTCTGTAGCTCTTCGTGATGTGCAGCTAACAAACAATAAACAAGAACATATTTTAAAAATGAGATGTTAGGGGCGCCTGGGTGGCTCAGTGGGTTAAAGCCTCTGCCTTCAGCTCAGGTCATGATCCCAGGGTCCTGGGATCGAGCCCCGCATCGGGCTCTCTGCTCAGCGGGGAGCCTGCTTCCTTCCTCTCTCTGCCTACTTTTGATCTCTGTCAAATAAATAAATAAAATCTTTAAAAAAAATGAGATGTTACTCTACTATTGTTATAGAATGTGAATTTATATCAGACAATTGGTGATTACCTAAAAACAATCTATAGTACTGAAACTGCACTTAAACTGACAATTTAGGATGTTTTAAACATCACTGAATGAAAACACATACAAAACAAACAGGCAGGTGGTTTGTGGACAAGCTCAAGCCCACAGCGAGCAGGGAAAGGTGCCCCTGCTCCGTCAGTCAGCCTCACCCCCCTCCACTCCCCCCCTACCCTCCCTGCTGCTCGGCCTCCAGGGGCGCTGGCGGCTGAAGCTCTCCCAGCCAGTCAGGGCATGCTAAGGCCCAGCTCTCAGAGCACACCCACATCCTCAAGGGCTCATTCCTGGAGCCTCAGTGTAATAACCACCCGTTCCAGTTCGTGTTTGATGCTTTGACATCTGAGGCTTCCTGGCACTGGTGGGGACTGCCCCTCCCAGGGTGAGTCAATTCCAAGAGAGAACAAACAACTGGGAGAGCGTCCTTGTAGGGAAACCAACCAATCCAGAGCCTGAGCAGCTCCTTTATCAGCACTGATGTGCCGGGTCACCGTCCCCGTGCCCCGCCCGCCCCAGGACCAGGGGGCAGACAACTAGGGGACAGCCTCTTTATGCTGCTTTGTGTCCTCCCTCCCCCACAACCACAACTGGCTCTCAGCCACCATTTCTCCTCCTTCCCTCTGCCTCCTGGCCATCCCTGGCGCTTCCCCATGTGGCCCTGCCTTTCGGCTTTAGGGATGGTAGGATACAATTCTTCTTGCATGACAGTCATTCCCATGTCTGTCCTTCTTACTGTACCTGATGAAAACAAATCTGGGGTGCCCAGGAAACACTCTACCTCCAGAGCTTGCAGGAGGTCGACACCTGCTGAAGTCTCCAGGAACTCAGAGGCCCTGCACAGAGTGTGGTCTGCTGATTTTCCATCAGTTCTCCAGCAGTCAGCTGTGACCTGGCAGGAAAGCAGTGAACTTCAGGGAGCTTCACTTCCTCTGGAAAAGAGAGACGACAGTATCGTCATCAAAGACCTCTGGGGAAGATAAATGAAGCACTTAGCAAATAGTCACAGACCACTCATAAATATTGCTTCCTTTCCAGATCACTTCCCATAGCTGTTTGCTTTATCTTTTTATGCCATTCTGAATGTATTCACTGATCTCACCTTTTAACCATTATTTGCCTTTATCCTTTTATAACAGTGCCAACAAAGAGAAATGTAATGCAAATCACAAAGGTAATTTTCAAGTCTGTAGGAGCCACACTTAAAAGCCTTAAAAATCCATTTCTTCAGTTGTATTAGCCACATTTCAAGTGCTTAAAAGTCACACCAGCCTTATGTATACCATATTGGACAACACCATTTTATACCATTTGAAATATAGTTGTAACAATCTTGTCTTGTAAGCATGGCTTATCTTACCAGTGTATTGATCCCAATATTCTTTTTTTTTTTTTTTTTTTAAAGATTTT